TTCCATAATCCCGTGCTTGGAGCAGAGCTGGTCTGAGCATCGTTGCCTGCCTGCTAAACTTTCACACACATTAATAATAGTGTAAAAGGTACACATAGATAAGGACTAAAAGAGCCATGAAAATATGTGTTTTGTGTTAAATTTGGGTAAAGTAATTTTTTTAACACTTTAATATTAGTTATGCATTTAAACTATAAGAAAACATCAGGACTGAGCACAGTGGTGGGTTGTGTGTAGTCCCAGCTCCTTGGGAGGCTGAGGGGGAAGGATCATTTGAGTTCAGGAGTTCGAGGCTGCAGTGAGCTGTGATCATGCTATGAACAGCTGCTTGTACTCCAGCCTGGCCGGCCAGAAAGACAGTTAAAAATAAAAAGTCATGGGGGGAGAGTCGGTGGAACGATAGCCTGGGTTTCTGGCTTTGATACATGGGTGGATGAACCTGAGCTCACAGGAGGAAGACAGATTTGGGGTGGGGAGGAGATACGAGAGTTCTTTTGATGTGTAAGTTGGGAGATGGGACAGCCAAGGGAACTATCCAGGTGCAATGATTGTGGGTCTGGAGCTCAGCAGGGAGCTTCGTGGTGGGGGAAAATAGATTTGGGGGTCGCTCACCATTGTGGTGGTAGTTAAGCTACTAAGTGGCGTAACATCCCAGGTGGCAGGTCAGAGTGAATGAAAGAAGACAGCCTGGGAGCAGTAGCCTCCCCTATGACACCCATTTTCGGAGATGGAGAGGAGAGAGAAGAAGCTAAGGAGGGGGTGACTGCAGAGCAGGCAATTGGTGTCAAGGAGCGAGGTAAGGAATAATACCACAAAGAGAAGAAGATGCCATATGGCAATATAGTGCCAAATACTGCCTGAGCCACCTGGAGCTAGGGAATGAATGTTCATGGTTTTATTAAGAAGAGAGCCGAGTGATCGCTCTTGAGGACAGATTCCGTGCAGCCCATGGGTAAGATGCTGAATGTTTTGAGGAGTGACAGGGAGGTGAAGGAAGTATAACAATGCAGGTGGGCAGGGCAGTGAGTGGAAGAGGTGATAATTCAGGCGAAGAGGGGACGTCTGTGATCTTGGTTCTTAGGCCAAAGAGGGGGATTCCTGAGCGAGGTGGGAAAAAAAACGTGGACAGGAACGTGGCACATTGTTTCACTGGGGCCAGGTGGAAGGAGGAAGGGGTGCATAGGTAGAAGAGAGTTGATGGTTTTGGTAGGGCACAAAATTGAGAGATTTCTTTTGTGTAGTGTTTGATTTCTCAAAGTGGAATATCTGTTGAGAGAAAGTGGAAAGTAGGAAGACCTTGGTTTGCAGAGATAAAAGAAATGTTGAAACATCCATCCATTCATGTGGATGGAGGAAAGTAATCACCCATGGTCTTTGAGACCCAGGGAGATTTTTACTGTCTTTTGTTGATGTTTGTATTTTGTTTTGTTTGTATATTTGTTGTTTTTCTTGGCTCAGTGCTAGAAGAAATTGTCCTTTGTGTTTATGAGTCCACTCTCTTCCTATCCTGGGGCATTTTTTCCAGTAGTGCTTAGTGGTTCAGGTTATAGTCCACGGACGAAGATAATTTTTAAAATAAGCTTTCTTTATTTTGGATCATTTTAGATTTGCAGAATGTAAACACGAGTACAAGAGGGTTCCATTACCCTCCCCCAGGCTTCCGGGTTTAACTTCTTAGCAGTGTTGTCACGGGACACTTTGTCTAAGCTGAGAAACTGACAGTGGTACATTATTGTGATCTGCTTTTGTTTGGATTTTCACCAGGTTCTCATTAATGTCCTTTTTTCCTGTCCCAGATCACAATCTGGGTTTCCACTTGCATTTAGTCCCAATGTCTCATTATTTTCCGGTTTGTGAGCAACTGCTTTTCTGTCTTTCCTTGTTTTTGCATGGGCTTTGGACAGTTTTGAGGAGTATTGGTCCAGGTACTTAGTAAATGTCCGTCACTTCTGGCTGGTTTTGATGTTTTCCTCGTGAATTGACAGGGATTGCAGTTGTTAGGCACGAATCCACACAGAGCTGAAGTTCGCTGGTGGCTTTGGGTGCCTTCCCCGACCTCTTCCCACATGTGAGATGTACACTAATGCAAAAGACGAACACACCAACACAAGCACACTTATTACAAATTTATCTTGCTGAACCTTTTGAGAGTTTGGCAGATGTCATGACACTCACCTTTTAAATATTTAGCATGTCTCCTAAGACCAAAGATCTTTTTCGCTACAAAAATCCCAAGAGCAGATTTTCCTACTTGCAGGAAATTGAACATCTTGTTATTATCAGAGTTCATATTCAGTTTCCTAATAATCACGCAATAATGTCTTTTAGCGCATTTTTTTTTTTTCCTCCTGGGATCCCAGAATCTCAACATTGTATTTAGTTGTGGACGGTAGTTGTTTGTAGAATTTCCTCAGTTTAATCACTTATGTGATAGTTTTAATGATTAAGACACAGATTTAAACAGTTTTGGCAGGAAAACTCTACTGGTCCATGTTCTGTCGCTTCTACAGCGCATCACATCAGGAGGGACAGGAAAAAAAAATTTTGTTTCAGCCCTGGTCTCCAATTGGTGACATTAAACTTGTGCTTATTTGGTTAAGGTTGGGACTTCCTGGATTTCCCATTGTGAAGGCATGTTTCTTCTTTGTAATTAATACACCTTCTGGGTCAGTCTTTTGAGAAGGGGTGACTGGTCGTTCCCGTGTCGTCTTTCACCGGGGTCTTAGCTTCTCCTGATGACTCTTTGCTTGAATCAGTTATTTATTTTGGTGGTTGCAGAAATGGTGATTTTTAAATTCTTGTACTCCTTCTCCATTTATCACTTGGCATTCGTGCATAGACAATACCTGCAGGCCACTGACAGGGAATATTTGTCACATAAAATACATTTTGCTTTTGCTCCCAAAGAGATGAGTTTCCTGAAAAATTGTGTGTTAACTGTGGTTTTATTTGCATAAGAAAAATTTCAGAGGCAGAGGTCCTTTCCATAGATGAAGAGAAATCCCTGTGGCCATAATAAAAGTATACTTAAGAAAACAACAGACTTTAATTTGCTTAACGTTAACGAAACATTTTTAATAAAATATAGCAATATATTACAGTGTACAACAACTGAAAATACCATATTGTGCAGTGGTATAAAGCTGGTGATGAGAGACGAGTCTCTTTCTTTGCTGAAGTACTATTTTAGGACTTTTTTTGTAACCAAAAATGAATTTCACTATAATTTCTGATGTGTTTTTGATATATAGCTGCTGACACTCACAGCCGTTTAACATTTCATTTTCAAAGCCTGGTCAGATTAATAACCTTTAGCCTCTGTTTTCTCATTTGTAATTGAAGAGTTGGATCGATGATAATCCTTTAATTCCTTTAATATTGGCTGGATTAAAACATTTATAGTAATATAATTGAACTCCCGTACTCCTTGGCTTAAAGACAGTATTATTCTTAAGTTACTTTTATTTAATCACCCAAAGTAAAACTAGTCATATAGAAGCCAAAGGCGTAGAAAAAAGGAAACCACAGAAATATGGACAAAACCATGAGGCATGATAGTAAACATGGTATTTCTGTTCGCCGCTGGCAGGAATATATGCCTGTAGGGGTTCTCTCCTTCTTTCCATGCAAGATTTTTCTAATAAAGACTTCCCTTGACAAACAAAACCAGAGATATCTTTTATAACGCAGCAAGGGAGATGAGTTTAATAACTCATAAGCTCCAGGTTCCTTTTCTAGCAGTTCCTGCAACTACTCGCCAAGCTCGCGTCCTGCCGGAAAGCTGCTCTTCTAAAAGTAGTGGGGAAGAGCATCAGTTTTCCCCCCGGGCACCGTGAGCATGATTTATTCCCGCGTGATTTCCCTATTTCAGCTGCTCTTTCGCTTCTGTCCCCCAGAGGCTAGGAAAGCAGCTCTTCTACTTAATTTAAGTAATTTCTTTATTAAATTAAATAGTCAGTGAAGGCCTTTTGTCCTGAGATTTCTGGTCCCTGAGAAAAATGAAGCGTTGGGAAGAGAGAGCAGAGAGGGAGGGGTTGGACTGTCCGACTGGGTGACAGTGCGCTTTGAGCAACGGCAAAGGAAGAAAAAGTAAGTCGTGGCCTTTTTGTGTTAGTAAGACACAAAAAAATTCCTATTGAAACATACATGGGTCTCCAAAAGCAGGAGCCTCTTCACAAGAGCGATGGCAAAGAAACTGACCCAGAGCCAGTTCTACGTCAGCGGGGGAGAAAGGGACAGAACCGGTAAGAGGTCAACTGGTTTACCGCTGCTCTGATTAAGTTTGGTTTGGGGCGGGGGAAGTTGGAATAAAGGCGTCTGGTGAAACGCTAAACTCCTGTCCACCACGCGCCCAGATTGTTCTTCTTCTCAGGGGCCAACAGACCCATCAGGTGTAGAAATCCCAGACCTGCCCCTGACCATGGCCCCCCATCGCCTCTGTTTCTGCTCCGAAGTAAACCCTCCAGTCCTTGGCATTTCCGCTCTGCTGCTCTCCACCTCCCGCTGGCATGTCACCTCCCCTGCCGCCCCCGTCCTTGCTGCCGGCCAACCTTCTCCCATGCAGCGAGAGGCTTGGAAACAGAGTCTTGACCACGTCACTAACCCAGCCCCACGCCAAGGCCGCCTTCAGTGCTTTGCTCACTGCTTTCAAGGCGAAAGAAAAGTATTACAATGGCTGAGACTCTGTCTCAAAATAATAAAAAAATAAAATAAAAAATACAAACTTTTGTAACTGATGATACCAACCATTTAGTCTGTCCCTAAATAACTGAGGATCCTGGCGATTTAACCATATCAATGCAGTCTTTTTTATATTATTAACTGAAGAAAAATTGGTGCCCTTTGCAGATTTTTAAGATTAGGAAACAAAAATAAGTCAGAAGGAGCCAAATCAGGATTGTAAGATGAATGCCTAATGATTTCCCATTGAAACTCTTGCAAAGTTGCTCTTGTTTGATAAGAGGAATACAGGAGCATTGAGGTATAGAAAGACCCCCTGAAGCTTTCTCTAACTTTCTCTAAACCTTCTCATAATAAACAGATATTATTATTCTTTGGCCCTCCAGAAAGACAATGGCAGAATGCCTTGAGTGTTCCAAAAAACTGTTGCCATGACCTTTGTTCTTGAACAATGTGCTTTTGCTTTGTACTACTTCTACCTCTTGGTGGCCATTGCTTTGATTGTGTCTTTAGGATCATACCGATAAAGCCATGTTTTATCTGTTACAGTTTTTTGAAGAAATGCTTCAGAATCTTGATCCTACTTGTTTAAAATTTCCATTAAATGCCCCGCTTTTGTCATCAGCTGACCTGGGCCAAAGTATTGGCACCCATTGAGTAGAAAGTTTTCTCAACTTTAATTTTCAGTCAAAATAGTGTAAGCTGGTGGCGTGCAACATGGCGCGCCTGCTCCGCGCGCTCTCGCGTCTGCTGCTCCGGGAGGCGCCGCTGGGGGCCGTGCGGGGCCGAGCGGGCGGCTGCGGGCCCGGTGCGGGGCCCGGGCGCGGGGACGCAGGTAGGATGCAGGCCCGCCGCCTCCGCGCTGTCGCTCCCCCGTCCCGGGCGCGGGTCTAGGCCGGCGCTTCGCCTCTCCGAGCGTCCCTGCGTGCGCCCCCGCCCTCTCGAAGGGGACCGCCCCTTCGAGGGGACACACTGACCCCTGTGAGGGTCTGAGGAAAGGAACAAATTCACCCAAATGTTCGATTGTTTTTGCCAAACGTGGGGCCCGGGGCCGCCGACGCTGTCCAGGGCGCTGTCCCGTACCGACCGCTCTTCCCGGGCCTGCGGGCCGCCCCCGCGCCTGCCCTGCGGAGCGGGCGGTTGACTTTCGGATCCCGGGGTTTCCTGCCCGGCTGAATTTCCCTGTGTGTGGCTAGGACCCAGGGGACCGGGCCAACCCTCAGTTCCTCCCTAACCTGGCATTGTTAGTGGCCGCGAGAGGGGACCGAGGACGAGGGCGCGCGTGTCCTGCTGATGCCCTTGGCCCCCTGCTGGGTGGGTGCGCGTCACACTTCGCCGAGAGGGAGGCCTCACCTGCGCACACGCGCCCCCCAGCGCTGCGCCTCACAGCTGTGTCGGGGGGACTTAGAGCCCGTGGATGGGCTTTCTGGGCAGTCGCCCGACTGGCCCACCTTTGAATCTAATTTTATATGTGTCCATTGAAGACACGTAGAGGTACCTAACTGCTGGAAACGTCCCTGTGTTTGGAACTGCATTTATGCCCTGAAGTTTCCAAAATGTGGTGTTAAAGAAATAAGTAACTAGATAAACTCACTTTCCGTTGCGGCCTTCGTAACCCCTGGTGTGTCTAGTCACCCAGTCTGATGCCATTTTTGTGAGCCGCTGTGTGTCCAGCACTGTTTTTGGCTGAGAATCGCAGGTGGTGGAAACATCACAGTTGCAGGCTGGAGTTCTCCTCGCCCCTCTTTGATGATGACACAGTGGTTTTTGTGCAAACTTCCTGGTCGCACGTGGCGCTGTCAGAAGCAGCCTAATGAATTACCTTAGGACCTGAAGTTCTTCAGCAACATTAAAATTTGGCCAGACACCAGTACATAAACAGGAGCTGTGTAACTTATCAGACACCCCTCCTGGGAATGTATTAAAAGGAAATAATTCAAAAGAAGAACAAAGCTATATGTCTAAAGATGTTTTTGGCCACACCACTCTTATGAACCGGAAACTGGCTAGAACCCAAATCTGTTAAGACATATTTCAGTAAATCATGAAAGTTCAATTCACCAACCATTAGGCATCCATTAAAAATGATAAACAGGTAATAGTTCTGAGATGAAGGGCTTGGAGGTCAAGGGATGGGAATTTGAGTCTCGACGTTCTTTCACTTACTCTGTGTCTGAGCTCAGGTTGTTAGAAAGTACCGTAGGTGGGGTAGCTTAAGCATCAGATGTTTTCTCACAGTTGTGGAGGCTGGGAAGTCCAAGATCAAGGTGACAACATATCCCAAGTGGGTGGGGACCTGCTTCCTGACTTCTCCCCATGTGTTCACACTGGAGAGAATGAGCTCTCGGGTCCCTTCTTATAAGGACACGAATCCTCCATGAGAGCCCCATCCCTGTGACCTAATCTAAACCTCGTCACCTCCCAAAGACCCTACCTCTAACCACCATCACACTGAGGGTGAGGGCTTCAACATACGGACTTGGAGGCAGGGGGCATACAGAGAACACAAATATTCAGTCCACAATGGTGTCTTTGGACAATTTCTTTAGCTTGCTAAACTTAAACCTCAGGGTTGTTTTTTTTTTTCTTCTATAAAATAAGGATAATGATAAGAGTAGGGTAGTACAGAGTAAGTTTACTTTAAAAATCAAGTGTTTTATCATAATGCTTGGCATTTAGCAAGCACACAATAAATGTTAGTTATAATTACACAGATAATTATGACAAGGATGAAAAAAATGTAGCTACATTTTAACCCACCTCATGGGCTTAGGAAGGGTTCAGAGAGAGAGAGAGAGATTGGGGGAAATGAGAAGATGCTGAAATGATGCAGGAATGTTCTCCAGGGCTGAGATCTCTGAAGTGCTCAGAGGCAGGGCTCCTATGATTGATTTTGTCATCCAGATTGACAAAGAGCAAATTGAAAGAAAAAAGGAAGAAATGGCCTGGAGAAAACTGTTGCTTCAGAAAAACATTCTCTAGTGATGGCTCTGGTAGGAAACGATTGTGGCCATAAGGTTAAAACAGTCCAGTCACTGTGGTGGGAGCGACCACTGCAGGTTAGAGTGGGCTGGGGTTCTTTGTGTACCAGCTCTTAGTGGGAACCATTAGGTGTGACAGGGACTTATGGAAATAAGTCTGGCTTATGTGAGGCAACGGGCAGTGTAGCAACTGTGGCCAGAAAGGTTAGCAAAACTCAGAGTAGACAACCAATGTGTCCGAGAATGGGTTTCCTTAGGGATGAGAAAATCGAGGGCCACCCCATGGGTCCTATGACCAAGAAGGCACATGGTCTGTGCAAATCACAGCACACAGAGAGAGGAACCCAGAATGTGGTTCAAGGTAAAGCTGGATGGCTGTCTAGTACAATAGCAGCTATAGCCAAACTTTCTGGTTAGTTAAGATAAGACACTCTGAAAAAAATAGCAAGAGGGAATCAGGAAAACATGTGGTCCTCAAAGGACCAACACATGATACAGAGGACAGAAAACACCTGCACACACACATTAAAGGGCAAAAAACAGCATTGCAACCTCTCTGGCCGCTGGTGCCCAGAGAACTTTACTCATTCCCGGATGGGAGACCTCATCGTGTGCTTTATGTGCGTGTGCCTAAATTGCCCTTTGATAAAACTGCATGGAATTTACTTTTAATGCAGCTTTCATTTAGACTTTGGCTGTTTCCTAAAGCCCCAGCATATTTGTTTGCTAGGGCTGGTATATTGCAGCTACAGACCGGGTGGCTTAAATGATGGACATTTCATTTTGTGCAGTTCCGGAGGCTGGAAGTTCAAGGGGCCTCAGGGTTGGTTTCTCCTGAGATCTCTCTCCTTGGCTTGGGGATGGTCACCTTCTTGCTGTGTCCTCCTGTGACCTTTTCTCTGTGCAGGCTCCTCCCTGATGTTATATGAGGACACCAGTCCTACTGGATTAGGGACCCCTCCTAATGGCCTCATTTTAACATAATCATCTCTTTAAAGGCCCCGTCTCCAAATGCAGTCACATTCTAAGGCACTGAGGATTAAGATTTCAACATATGCATGTTGAAAGTTCACAATTCAGTCCCTAACACCCTGATCTGAGCACACCCAACTGAGCATTTGTCATTTTGCTATCCAGGCAGTCTGTCCTTGCCCAAGTCTTCTAGGCTGGCAGATTTGCAGCTAAATGTTCCATAATCCGTGCTTGAGCAAGAGCTGGTCTGAGCATCGTTGCCTGCCTGCTAAACCTTTCACACACATTAATAATAGTGTAAAAGGTACACATAGATAAGGACTAAAAGAGCCATGAAAAATGTGTTTTGTGTTAAATTTGGGTGAAGTAATTTTTTAACATTTTAAATATTAGTTATGCATTTTAAACTATAAAGAAAACATCAGGACTGAGCACAGTGGTGGATGTGTGTAGTCCCAGCTCCTTGGGAGGCTGAGGGGGAAGGATCATTTGAGTTCAGGAGTTCGAGGCTGCAGTGAGCTGTGATCATGCCTATGAACAGCTGCTGTACTCCAGCCTGGCCAGGCAGAAAGACCAAGTTAAAAAAAAAAAAGTCATGGGGGGAGAGTCGTGGATGATAGCCTGGGTTTCTGGCTTGATACATGGAGTGGATGAACCTGAGCTCACAGGAGGAAGAGCAGATTTGGGTGGGGCAGGGAGATACGAGAAGTTCTTTTGTGTGTAGTTGGAGATGGGACAGCCAAGTGGAACTATCCAGGTGGCAATGATGTGTGGGTCTGGAGCTCAGCAGGGAGCTCTGGGGTGGGGGAAAATAGATTTGGGGGTCCTCACCATGTAGGTGGTAGTTTCAGCTACTAAGTGGGTAAAATCACCCAGGTGGCAGGTGCAGAGTGATGAGAGAAGACAGCCTGGGACAGGTAGCCTCCCCGAATGACACCCGTTTTCAGGAGATGGAAGAGGAGAGAGAGAGAACCCTAGGAGGGGGTGACTGCAGAGCAGGGGCAATTTGGTGTCACAGAGCCGAGGTAATGGAATATACCACAAAAGAGAGAGGATGCCCATAGTGCCAAATATAGTGCCAAATACTGCCTGAGCCACTGAGCTAGGGATGAAGTGTTCATTGGTTTTATTAAGAAGAGAGTCATTAGTGATCGCTCTTGAGGACAGATTCCGTGCAGTCATGGGGTAGATGCTGATGTTTTGAGGAGTGACAGGGAGGTGAGGAAGTCTACATGCAGGTGGCAGGGCCAGTGGAGTGTGAGAAGGTGATAATTCAGGCGAAAGGGGGACAGTCTGTGGATCTTGGTCCTTAGGCCAAAAGAGAGGGGATCCTGAGCAGAGGTGGGAAAAAAAAACGTGGACAGGAGGACGTGGTCACTTGTTTCACTGGGGCCAGGTGGAAGGAGGAAGGGTGGGCATAGGTAGAAGAGAGTGTGATGGTTTGGTAGCACAAAATTGAGAGATTTCTTTTGTGGTAGTGTTTGATTTCTCAAAAGTGAAATCATCTGTTGAGAGAAAAGTGGGAAGTAGGAGAGACCTTGGTTTGCAGAGAATAGAAAATGTTTGAAACATCCATCCATCCATTGTGGAGGAGGAAACAGTAATCACCATGGTTCTTTGAGACCCCAGGGAGATTTGTAACTTTGTCTTTGTTGTGTTTTTGTATTTTGTATTTTGTTTGTATTTGTTTGTTTTCCTTGGCCTCACGTGCTAGAAGAGATTGGTCACTTTGTGTTTATGAGTCCAACTCTCTCCCTAGTCTGGGCATTTTCTCCAGTAGTGCTTAGTGGTTCAGGGATAGTCACGGAGAAGATAATTTTTAAAATAAGCTTTCTTATTTTGGAATCATTTTAGATTTACAGACATGTAAACAGAGTACAGAGGGTTCCCATTACCCTCACCCCAGCTTCCCCGGGTTAACTTCTTACAGTGTTGTCACGGGACATTTGTCTAAGCTGAGAAACTGACAGTGGTACATTATTGTGAACTCTAGCCTTTGTTTGGATTTCACCAGGTTCTTCATTAATGTCCTTTTTTCTGTCCCAGATCCAATCCTGGGTTCCACATTGCATTTAGTCACCATGTCTCATTATTTTCCGGTTTGTGACAACTGCTTTTCTGTCTTTCCTTGTTTTTCATGGGCTTGACAGTTTTGAGGAGTATTGGTCAGGTACTTAGTAGAATGTCCGTCAGTCTGGGCTGGTTTGATGTTTCTCCTCGTGATTGAACTGGGATTGCAGGTTGTTAGGAAGAATCCCACAGAGCTGAAGTTCCTTGGTGGCTTTGGGTGCCCTTCCCCGACCTCTTTCCTACCATTGAGATGTACACTTGCACAAGCACACACACACACACACACACACACACACTTATTTACAAATTTATCTTGCTGAACCTTTTGAGAGTTGCAGATGTCATGACACTTCACCTTTAAATATTTCAGCATGTCTCCTAAGACCAAAGATCTTTTTCCTACAAAAATCCCAAGACAGTTTTCCTACTCACGAAATTGAACATCCTTGTCTATTATAGAGTTCATATTCAAGTTTCCCTAATATACCAATAATGTCTTTTTAAGCTGCATTTTTTTTCCTCCTGGGATCCAGAATTCACATTGTATTTACCTGTGGACAGTAGTTGTTTTGTAGAATTTCCCTCAGTTTTCACTTATGTGATAGTTTTTATGATTAGACACAGATTAAACATTTTTGGCAGGAAAACTCTACTGGTCATGTTCTGTCCTTCTCAGCGCATCACATCAGGAGGACAGGATGTCACCTGTCTCACTATTGGTGACATTAACTTTGCTTATTTGGTTAAGGTGGGGACTTCTGGATTTCCCCATTGTGAAGGCATGTTTTCTTCTTTGTAATTAATAACCTTTGGGTCATCTTTTGAGAAGGGGTGACTGGTCTGTTCCCTGTCGTCTTTCACCGGGGGTCTTAGATCTCCTGATGACTCTTGCTTGAATCAGTTATTATTCTGGTGGTTGCAGAAATGGTGATTTTTAAAATTCTGTACTTCCTTCTCCATTTATCACTTGGCATTCTGCATGACAATCCTGCAGGCCACTGGACAGGGATATTTGTCACATAAATACATTTTGCTTTGCTCCCAAAGAGATGAGTTCCTGAAAAATTGTGTGTTAACTGTGGTTTATTTGCATAAGAAAATTTCAGAGGCAGAGGTCCATTTCCATAGTGAAGAGAAATCCCTGTGGCCATATAAAAAGTATACTTAAGAAAAAACAACTTTTAATTTGCTTAACAGTTAAGAAAAATTTTTAATAAAATATAAGCAATCATATATAACAGTGTACAACACTGAAAATACCATATTGTGCAGTGTTATAAACTGGTGATGAAGACGAGTCTTTTCTTGCTGAAGTACTATTTAGGACTTTTTTTGTAACCAAAAATGAACTATAATTTCTGATGTGTTTGATATATGGCTGCTGACATCACAGCCGTTTAACATTTCATTTTCAAAGCCCTGGTCAGATTAAATAACCCTTTAAGCCTCTGTTTTCTCATTTGTAAATTGAAGAGTTGGATAGATGATAAAATCCTTTCAAATTCTTAATATTGGCTGATTAAAAACATTTAGTATATAACTTGAACTCCCTACTCCTTGGCTAAAGACAGTATTATTCTAGTTATTTTATTTATACTCACCCAAGTAAAAACTAGGTAATATAGAAGCCAAAGGGAGTAGAAAGAAAGGAAAACAAAATATGGACAAAAACCATGAGGCATGATAGTAAACCATGGTATTTCTGTTCCCCTGGCAGGAATATATGCTGTAGGGGTCTCTCCTTCTTTTCCATGCAAGATTTTTCTAATAAAGACTTCCCTTGACAAACAAAACCAGAGATATCTTTATAACCCAGCAAGGGAGATGAGTTTAATAACTCACTAGCTCCAGGTTCCTTTCTAGCCAGTCCCTCAACACTCCCAGCTGCGTCCTGCCGGGAGCTGCTCTTCTAAAGTAGTGGGGAAGAGGATCAGTTTCCCCCCAGGCACCTGAGCAGAATTTATTCCCCGTGATTTCCTATTTCAGCTGCCTCTTTCGCTTCTGTGCCCCAGGAGGACTAGGAAAGCAGCTCTCTACTTATTAGTAATTTCTTATTAAATTAAATAGTCAGTGAAGGCCTTTTGTACCTGAGATTTCTGGTCCCTGAGAAAAATGAAGCCGTGGGAGAGAGAGCAGAGAGGGAGGGGTTGGACTGTCCCACTGGGTGACAATGCGCTTTAGGAGCAAGGCCAAGGAAGAAAAAGTAAGTCGTGCCTTTTTGTGTTAGTAAAACAAAAAAATTCCTATTGAACAATACAGGGTCTCCCACAAAGCAGGAGCCGTCTGTCACCAAGAGCGAATGGCAAAAGAAACTGACCCCAGAGCAGTTCTACGTCACGAGGGAGAAAGGAACAGAACCGGTAAGCTCAACTGGTTTACAGCTCTCTGATTAGTTGTGTTGGGGGCGAGGGGGAAGTTGGAATAAGCCGTCTGTGAAACCTAAACTCCTGTCCACCCACGCCCCAGATCTGTTCTTCCTTCTCAGGGCCACGGACCCATCAAGGTGTAGAAACCCCAGACTGCCCCCTGACACATGGCCACCCCCATCGCCTCTGTTCTGCCTCCCGAGTAACCCTCCAGTCCTTGCATTTCCCTCTGCTGCTCTCACCTCCCCGCTGGCATGTCACCTCCCCTGCGCCCGCTGTCCTTGCTGCGGCCAACCCCTTCTCCACATGCAGCCAGAGAGGCCTTTGGAAAACACGAGTCTGACCACGTCACTACCCAGCCCAGAACCCTTCAGTGCTGCTCACTGCTTTCAAGGAGAAAGAAAAGTATTAAATGGCTAATAAGGTCCTAAAGGCTCTGGCCCCTGCCTCCCACCCCATCCTGAAATCCCGTTGTCTTTCCTCTTGTCACTGTGCTTTGGCCACAATGTCCCTTGGGCTCTAACACACCCTGGGCTCCCTTCTCTTCTAAGGCTCTTGCACCCGCATTCCTTCCTCTTTCCTATCACCTTTCCTTCCGGTTAATTCACACCTACACAGTAGCTCAGCCCCAGTCCCACTTCCTCAGGGAAGCCTCGTCCCAGCCCCGAGCGAGGTTTGCTTTACCAGGACTCACCTGTCACAGCACCTGCCATCTCTCTATTGTCCCCTGGCACCTAACAGGCCGCCTGGCTATGGCAGACACTCAGAAAATCAATTGCATGCAGCGATCTCAGCTTTCTTTCATTTCCGGAGAGAACAACCCTTGGTGGTTCCTCCTTATAACACCATTTCTTTTACCGTGTTGCATTTCTTAACAAGCATTCTTTCTTAGACCCAAATATAGCCAGTAGAATTTAGCTGTCACTCAGGATCTGCAGAATTCACGTGGCTATCTGTCTGTAGGTGGCCTTATAATCATGGCCTCACCCTCAGTTTCTCTGATGCTAAAGTCATGAGACAGACCAGCATATCCCAATAGAGTATCATGAAATGCTGGTATCTTTAAAAACTTCCTGTGGGTGAGATTTTAATAAAGCCTTCACTGGGAGAAAGACTGCATTAGCTGTTATTGTAGATAGCACAAGGGAGCCTGACATGATAGCCTGTGAGCAGTTGTGTGCATTCCAGAATGTTCTAAGGCAGCCCTCATTCCCAGGTACAGAGCCAGGCAGGGCCTGGTGTATACACAGGGCCCAGAGATGAGCTGCCAGATGTTTAGGAGAATAAATCTGTGAGCTGCTTAAACAGCTGGTGCAATATACTCTGTGCATTTGGCTATTTTACAAAATGAGCATCTTCCATTATTTTAACCAATGTTATAAATCCCATCCCGTTGATCCATTTCCACATTTAAATTTTTAGAATATTGCAGAACTATAAGGCTTAGTTAAGCTTCATTAGGCTAATAGAGGAGAAATAAAATGTCAGAGACTTCTCTTTGGTGACTCCCAATCTAAATTCAGTTACATGTGCTTTTTATCCTGAAACGGTAATATTGCTAGCACTCTGCTAGACCAGTGAAAAAATGTCCAGACTGGTTGATGAGTAACTGAAAGTCCAGTATCAAGAGAAGGGAAGTTTTAGCGGGCCATCCTCTGTGTCTGCTCTCCAGACCCACTTCTCCCTGCTCTGAGCTCTGGGAAGTGACCACCAGCTCCCTGTCCCTTCGGCTGCTGATTTTGTTTAGGCAGCAGGAGACCCAGCGAGGTCAAAGGGCAGGCTGGAGAAATCACTGGGGCCCAGGGGCCTCTGTGGGGCTGCAGCTTGGCAGTGGCTGTGTCCCTCCTCTGCATGTGGCAGCCCCCTCCCTTCCTTTGTCCCACAAGCCAGTGGGGGTCCCCTGTTGGTTTCCGCTGGGCCTGTCCCTACCTTTGTAATGGTCCCACGTGAAATGGTCTGCAGCTGTCCATTCTGAATGTGTCGTCTGTTTGCAGCAGGTATGTTGTCCTGGCAAGATCCCTAAAGGGTGAACTGCCATTGGTCCAGACAGGCCTTGATATCGCAGGGGAATCGCGACTGTCACTCTGTCTCTGACCCCGGCCCCTCCCTCTGCAGCCAGTCATTTCAGTTCTTTCTTCTAGATTATTCCTGACTTTGTTTCCACTGCTCTGCCTGGGCAGGAGCGGTCTCCAGGCCTCTCTCGAGTGACCAACATCCGGTTGCTCTCTGTCCCCAGGGCTTCTTGCCCCCCTCTCCAATCCGTTCTTGCCCCGCATGTCAAATGAGTTTTCTCAAAACCAGTTCTGTCCTGTTTGCCACTAACCAAGATTAAATTTTAAAAAAGGAAAAAAGAGTTAATAAAACCCAGCTCTGATCAGGTGTGCACCCAGTTTACAAGTTTCCAGTAGCTTTGCATTTCCCATAGGACTGTGTTTAAGCTCTTCGGGGGATCTAACCCGGTTGGCCCCTCCTATCTTCCCAGCACAGTCTCTGCCCCTCCTCCACCTTCTTCCCACACGCGGCCTTGCCCAAGCTGTTCTGCCTGCCAGAGACACTCTTCCGTGTCTTCATCTGATCAGCTCTTATCCTTCAAAACCCAGCTTAGTGTTTTGGAATTTTTCCACAATACACAGCCATCAGCTGTGTATTTAAAAATAATAGTAATAAAAGGTTAAGGAAAAAAAGACCCTCTCCCCACCCCCAACCCCACCCATTTCTGGTGCAGAAAGCCTTCATGTAAACTCCCTTCAGAGTGAAAGGATACAGCGCTGCCCAGAAAACGTCTGAGTGTGCCCAGATGGTGGGCTCGGCAGGTTGATTTGGAATTGTCTTGTTACGCAGCTCACTGGAAATGCGCTGTCAATACTAGTGCGGGGATTTGGATGTACAACCTATGAATTTTTGAAGTTGGGGGATCCGGAGAGGGCAGGCGAGTCCAGTTATCTCCTGAGTCAGCTTTGGCACTCGGTGGACCTTTCTGTGCTTTGGCTTCTCCTCCTGCCCGTAAAATGGGACGGCGCTTGCCACCAGGCACGGTGACGGTGGGTCTTCATAGTTAGCATGTGCAAGGGTTGCTTTTTCTTTAATTTTCTTCAACAGAGGAGATGACAACAGGAATTGGGCAAAAATGGCCTTTTTTAAAAAAAAATGACAGCCAGTTTGCAAAATAACATTTTAAAAAATCTTGACTCAGCTAACTCATTGCCTTAAGTGTCCTTGTGTTACTCTTGGAATAATATCTTTGAAGACCTGCAAACTCTTTAAGCCACAATGAGTGCAGTCATGTCATCTAAGAAGTATTATGGGCACTACCAGACTCTAGCTCATTATTTAACATTTATTAAACATGCAGTGTCCTAAATATCGTGTGAAGCACATTAAAGGCACAACCTTGATCTCACTGAACTATGCTTTTTATGTATCTCTCTTCTCTCTTTAATTGGAGATTTCAAAGTGTGTTAGTGGACTCGATTCCTATTGTACTAATGTTAACTCTTTTGAAACAGAGACCGAAGTCTCACACAATCGCCTTCTCTTGCTTTTTCACTGTCTTTGAAGTTCCTGGATGAAAGGTGCTATATGAATACAAAGCATTATTAATGTCATAATTTGAATATTGGGCACAATAAGGCCCGGGCTGTAAACAAGCCTACAGGCTGCTTCACTGGGTGCCTTATAATTTTCTCTCTGGTGGTATTTGCAGTTGGTCAAATTAGTGCAGAAATTCCTGGATTTGGAGACCTCTTTAGGATTCAGATCTGCTCCGTCATTTCCTGCTGGTCGTCTGAGAAACTGAACATGACGCATCTAATTTACTTTCAGCCTTTCAGTGGGAGCTACCTGAGTAACGAGGAGGCAGGCATGTATCACTGCGTGTGCTGTGACAGTCCCCTCTTCAGGTAAGTCAGAGAATCAAGAGCAAGAACAAACTGCCAGGCTTTTGTTCCTATCACGTGGAGCTGTGCCCAAGACTTCTTAGCTTATATTCTTCCTTTAACCCTGAGAAATAGCAAACAAATACAACTTGGTAGGCACCTTAATGATAAAGCCATTAGAATATTATAGAGGGAAAGTTTTTAAAGAAATCTAAACCATAATTGTATTTGCTGGGCCATGTGATTAAAACTGTATCTCTCCCAGGGAAAAAAAATGGGTTTATAATTTAATTTAGGAAATGTAGAATTTTATGAGGATAGATTCCCCGCAATGCTTGACAGTAGTGAATACCATGCCCTCTTCTGTGTAGCTAAAAGTAAATTTAATTGTCCCTTGATTTCAAAGCCTCTTTTAAGTCAATCAGGACCTGAAATCTCTCAACAAATGCTTTTTTGTTTAGACATGCAGGAAGCAGTCTTTTAAAAAAGGACATTCGATGAAGAAGAAAGGAAAACATCTTTGAAGTCCTGCTTTTCAGAACTTCAAAGATGTTTTCCTTTCTTTTGCATCAACCCTAAATTGGTTTAGAATAAAATATAAATCAGGCCAGCTCTGCGGATCGTCCATTAGGCGTTGTTGCCTTCTGTCCTCTGGGCTTTGAGCAGCCGGCTTTGCAGGGCTGCGGGCTGCGGGCTGCCCGGGGAGCCAGGCCCCCTGCAAGGGTGAGCGATTAGCATCGATTTTCCTTCCTGAAGCACAGGATGGGGGAAACTGGAAGGTTAATTTTTGCCCAGTAAAGTGTGGAACTCATATTTCTGCGGCATTAGTTATTTCTTGACCCTCGGTTTTGTTAGAGAAGAGAGGCAGGGCTTTGGAGACGGCCAGTGTGCTCTCAGCCAAAGCACCGTGATGCCGGGTGTCAAAGATTGCCTCACTCCCGTGCACGCACCTGCTTCCCTTTCCGTCTTCCACCGAAGATGAGAAGCCATCCTTGCAAGAGCGCGTTCCTGACTCGCAGTCTTCGCTCTGTGACTCCCTTGGGGCTCCAGCTTCTGCACCAGGAAAGATGGGGCCCTCCTTAGCACCCAGCACATACTGTCCCCTCAAAAGTCACCACACAGGCTCAGTCATGGCGTGGGGACCTGGCAGCCATGAGGGTGCTCAGAGACTACAGCAGAAAGCTCTGTCTGGTAGAACCTTCCACCGCGACAGAAAGGTCTCTGCCTGGCCACTGTGGTGGCCACTTGTCACATGTGGCTGTTGAGCGCTTAACATGTGGCTGGTGTGGCTAAGAAGCTGAATTTTTTATTTTATTTCATTTTAATTAGATTAAACTTAAAAGGCCACAGTGGCAGTGGCTATTGTATTAGCACGATGCTACTTCAAATTAAGGCAGTTAAGCGACCAAGCCCAGGTGATGGAGATTGTCAAACAGCCAAGATTCATTACTACGAGACGCGGCCAATTCTCCAAAATCCCATTTACCAGCTGGCCAGTTTACCACACTGCCAATTCACCAACGTTATTTGTTTCTTTTTAGCCATTTAGCTTGAACAGAAAAGTTTCCATTTTCCCATCTTAAGGACTTTTGAGTTTGTTTCTGTTCCATTTTCCTGTTGCTACTATTGCAGCTAAGATGTAGAAATAAATATATTCATAAGAATCACTTGTGTTCCAGAATATACTCTTAAAGGTGCATTCATTTATGGGACAGGCAGTATAGGACAGTGATTAAGGCAGCTTAGATGTACATTCTGGCTCCACTGCTGTGTGACATTGGGCAAGTTTCTTAACCTCTCTGTGCCTTGATTTCCTCACCTGTAAAATGAGGATAACAGTACCTACTTTATAAGGTTGTTGGGGAAATTATCTGACATGCCTGACTCATGTCAGTCACTCGATGCGAGTTGGCCATAATGTTTTCTTAGAGACAGAGCTTTCCTAGGGCTGTATACATGAACATATGTTTGGTGATGAGGGAGTCTGGAGAATGTAGAAAGAGAACATGCAGATGACTACATTCCAGAGTGTTCCTCCCATTCTAGAGGACAGTTTTAGGAATATGTTCTTGTTTTGCCTGTCACTTGCCCCCTCTCTGTCTGTAGCCTCTGTGTTAGGAAACAAGAGTCCAGAAAAATCATTTCTTAAATGCTTGTGAATGAAGTGAAAAGCTGGTCAACCAAAACTAAGTAGTTGATTGAACAGCAAGTGCCGTTTTTCATACCACACAATTTAGGACTTACTTGTTCTCCTACTGGCTCAGACATTTCATTTAGTTGAGGAGATAAACTGATAAGCCCAAGCTCTCCGTGCATGGCCTTTCATCAGACCTCTTAGCAGTTCTCTGAGGTTCTGTGATTCTTCTCCTTTCCTCAGCGAGGAAACTGACATGTGGGGAGATTGGGAACTTGTCCGGGAATCTGCAGCTCATCGGTATCCAATAAAACATGAGCCCACAGCTGCCAGACACCAGGGCCCACACTCTGCTATCCAGGCTCCTGCAAGCCACTTGCACGGTGCGTGGACAAGCCACCGTCTCCATCTGGTGCCAGGCATAGGTGCCCCAGAGGACAGACCAGACTCTAAGGCGTGGGCCAGGCCAGTGTAACCCTTGAGCTTCCTTTCCAGAATCTTGTTCCCAGCCTCACCTGCCAGGCTAACCATCTTCATCATCCCCTTCACGATCCGGTAGTCGTTGGAATGAATTTGGTGCACGTCCCTGGAGAGCTGCTCCTTCCAAATCAGAGACCTTTAATCGAAGCTGGCCAGGTTAAGAGCACTTTCCAGAATTTGATCACTCCTCTAGGGACTCCAGACTTGTTTCCTTAACTCGGAATGAAATGACATTGCCCCCCTCCCCAACTCCCCCTCCTTCCTTCCTCCTTTTTTCCCACCTGGAAACCTATTCTGGCAGTGCTTATCAAAATCGGTTGTTGGATCACACATTTCATGGTCATAAATCTTAAAACAGGAGGCAACAGTGCCTGATACTAGTTCACTTTTTATGTGACACTGAGATGTCCTACGCCTGTCATGAGTAACTAAGTAATATCGTTTAAAAACCTTTGTGTGCCCATTCCCCCAAATGAGCGTCAATTCTCCCAAAAGGTTAGTGTTGTCAGTTATCACAAGGTGCCTCTGCTATTGGTTTTGGGGCTGTGAAATTTCCAGAAATAAAGGAAAACCAAAGTAAATAAACACATAAGACTAAACAAAAGAAAAACCTCTTAAAGTATATCATCCAAAATGGTTTTAGTTTATCAAGGATAAGCCTCGTAATCCACTAATCATTTAAATATGTATGTTGGAATTTCTGATTGGCTTTAATATTTAGGATCCCGGTCTTAAATCATATATATTGGGCCTCTCATATTACTTGGTAAAATCTCCAGATTCTGCTAATTGCATCAATAAAGGTTTATTGTTCCCCATAAAATGTTTTAATGAGTTTTTATTAGTCTTAGATTCATTCATTTAAAAATTTTTATTGTATTCATAATTCCCCATCAAAATTCCTTTAATGCTTACTAGTTTATATATAACATTGAGGATGGAAAGGCTTTGATTAAAAGATACTTACAGTGTTTTTCCCTGAGCAGAGTAGCCAGATGAATATTTTTGAGCCCCCGGAAGAGGATTACAAAGAATGCAACCTGAATGTACAAACACTTGGTAGTTGGACCCACAGTTCCTCACGTTTCATGGGTATTTGATATTAATAATAAAAATGATATTAAAAACAATAGCTACTGACTTATGTACCATGTGTCAGGCATTAGGCTAACCACACTATATACAGAAAGTGAGGTCATAATGCCATTGCTATTCTATAGATTCTATAGATTATAACTTGCCTAGGACACAGATGTAATAGACACCCTGGATTCGTGCTCAAATCTTGCAGAATTCAAAGTCCTACTCCAGTTGGTTATACCTGTGGTTCTCAGAGCCTCAATCTAAGGACCCTGAGGATTCCTCTCTAGGGGATCTGTGAGGTCTTCCCTTTCCCAACCTCATGCCACATCTTCCTATACTTCAGTCGAAACAACATTGCAACAGATTTAATTCAGAGGCCCATGTGAAGATTCAGCGGTCTTTCTTTAAAACCAGACATTCAAGAGATTTGCAAAATTATGAAAGTGCAGTTCTTCCCACTAAATGTTTCATTTTGAAAGATACAATTATTTGTCATAAAAATATGTTAACATATAATGAATTTATTTCAGGTGGAGCATCCCTAATCTGAAAATCCAAACTCTGAAATGCTCCAAAGCCCTAAACTTTTTGAGCGCCAACGCGATACTCAAAGGAAATGCTCATTGGCGCATTTCAGATTTTGAATTTTTGGGGATGCTCAACTGATAAGTATAATGCAGATATTCCAAAATCTGAAAAAAATCTGAAATCCGAAACACTTCTGGTCCCAAGCATTTCAGATAAGGGGTATTCAATCTGTGTTTTAAAAAATAACTTAATGCATACATATTTTTTAAATTGTCCATTACACTTTCTAATTTGTTAAATGCTGATATGTGTAACTCATGGAAACAAAAGCTTTCAGGGATCCTCAGTAATTTGGGGGCATTGGAGAGGTCTTCAGACCAAACTGTTTGAGAACTGCTGTGTCACACGGGCCTGAGTTTGTGGGAGTCTGTGCCCTCGGCTCAGCTTCCTTCTGTGTTCATAGCCTAAGGATTTGATTCTTTGCGCTTTTTCTTCTTTCTTTAGTTTTTTGCTGCTCTAACATTCAGTTTTGCTCTTTCTTCCTTAAATAGAGACAGCCATCTCCCTGCCATTGCATTAAAAAAAAAAAGGCTATTTTCCTAGGGCCATTTAAGGGAACGTAGCTGTCAGAGCACTTGGAGAGTGGGTCTTTGGTGAGCAGATTTGCTTGTTATCCCTCTCCCCTCCCCCTCCTCTTCCTCCTCCTTCTCCTCCTCCTCATGCCAGCTCCTCCAGCCCCATTCAGCCTGCAGCATCCTTAATCCCTGGGAGACTTCCCCTGGGGGGCCAGGCCTCACTGCCCTGATTGATGAAGAGTAGCCAGGCTTATGAATTAATAATAATCATGGCATTTGCACCCGCATGAGCCTAGCACTGTGCTCCACAAAGGACCCCTTTAGATCTCAGCACAGCCCTTCAGGGGAGATATTATGCCCATTTTACAGGTGAGGAAAGTGAGGCTTCAAGAGGAATAAGTAGCTTAGTCTAATACCACACAGCTAAGAAGTAGCCAGAGGCAGCTTTGGAATGCCAACAGGCAGTCAGGCTTCTGTGTTTAGATAGCTTGAAATCCCGTTGCTAAAAACAACTGCGTCATCAGATCTCACCCTTCTGTGATGCTCGGAGACTCGGGCGACCTCCTCCTCCGACCAGTCTTCCTCCTCCGCACTCAGAACGCATGCGTCACCGTGCACAGAGCGCCACGTGTCTTTGGATCCTTGCTGGACATCAAGAAAGAAGCCTGTTAGCATCAAAGGAACAAGAAATCCTTGCCCTCACCGAGGCAGTGGCTTCGATGGTGCAGAGGCAGGGAGAACTGCTCCCGTGGGGCGGGTTGTGCAGCGACCTGGGCGTGGGGTCAGGCGGTGGGGAGCCCGGTCGTTCCCCGCCCCCCAGAACAGCAGAGAGGGGGCGTGGAGCGTGCTAGTGCCACATCCTCAGCCCCCGTCCTGGTGTGACTGTCCTCTGCAGCTCCGAGAAAAAGTACTGCTCCGGCACGGGGTGGCCTTCGTTTTCTGAGGCTCACGGCGCGTCTGGCTCGGACGAAAGCCACGCGGGGATCCTGAGACGCCTGGACACCTCGCTGGGGGCCGCGCGCACGGAGGTCGTCTGCAGGCAGGTGGGCTTTCTTGTCTTGTTTGCTTTGTTTGCCCGGATGCTGCCCCGGGGCCCAGGGGGCGCTCTAGTCGTTTGGCGAGCCGGGCGTCCCTCCGTGGGGCCCTTCTGTCATCCGACGCATTGGATTTCCGCCGCGCCACCGGTGACAAGCCCCGCGGGCACTGCGGGTGGGAGGAGCGGCCCCTGAGCGCTCTAGCCATGCGGGTCCTGGCTTCCGAGACCGAGCAGAGGCGGGAGCAGAAGGCAAGAGCTGCCCGTCCCTTCGCGTTCTTTTGAGCAGGGACAGGCAGCAGGAAGGCCCAGCGAGGCTGGCATCTCCCGGCCTTCCGTTTCCTCTGGGCAGCGTGTCACTGGCAGGTGGAGTCACGCTGCAGGGGACAACGCGCTGCAGGGGACGCCACGCTGCAGAGGACGCCAGCACGTTGTGCCGCCCGCGAGCCTGGCAGGAGAGAGGGACTTAGATCCAGACGGCACATTCTTTCGATGTCCTTGTGTGCTCACGTTTTCCAACTCGTGGCGCTTTTTTTTAATTATTATTTTTTATTTTAGCGTATTATGGGGGTACAAGTGTTAAGGTTACATATATTGCCCATGGTCCCCCTTCCCCGTGGAGTAAGAGCTTCAAGCGTGTCCATCCCCCAAACGTTGCACATCTTACTCGTTGTGGTTGTATATACCCATCCCCTCCACCCCCCACACCCTCCCAACACCCAATAAATCTTCCTCCTATATGTCCACTTAGGTATTTGCTGGTGAGTACATGTGGTGCTGGTTTTCCCATTCTTGAGATACTTCACTTAGTAGAATGGGTTCCAGCTCTATCCAGGAATATACAAGAGGTGCTAGATCACCATTGTTTCTTAAAGCTGAGTAGTACTCCATGGTGTACATATACCACATTTTATTAATCCACTCACGAATTGACGGGCACTTGGGTTGTTTCCACAGCTTTGCAGTTGTGAATTGTGCTGCTATAAACATTCGAGTGCAGGTGTCTTTTTGTAAAGTGACTTTTGATCTTTTGGGTAGATGCCCAGTAGTGGGATTGCTGGATCAAATGGTAGATCTACTTGTATCGCTTTGAGGTATCTCCATATTGCTTTCCACAGAGGTTGAACTAGTTTGCAGTCCCACCAGCAGTGTAGGAGTGTTCCTCTCTCTCCACATCCATGCCAGCATTTATTGTTTGGGGACTTTTTGATAAAGGCCATTCTCACTGGAGTTAAGTGATATCTCATTGTGGTTTTGATTTGCATCTCATGTTTTCCGACTCATGGCTTTTGCACAACCCCAGAGGCAAGCTGATGAACACAGCACAGTTTCACCATCAATAACAGATAATAATACCCTGGCTGCAACATTGCTCGGCCTTACCCAGAAACTGTGTTACTGCTTCATGTGCATCATGTCAATTAATTGTCCAGCGGTTTTGGTGCATTGGTATAATTATTATCCCATTGCATAGGTGAGTAAATCAAGGCCCGATTTAATAACTTGCTCACATTCTACTGCTAAAGTGAAACTATTAGTATCCTAGTTACCCTGACTGTGCCCCGCATTCTCTCATTTCTTAATTGAATTCTGACAGGATAGACTTCCCCCCCCCCCACAGATATCACACTGTGATGTGGGGTGGCCGCGTGGGGTCTGTCTGAGTGGTTTCAGCGGAGGAGTGACAGGCTTCTCTCCCGCACAGTGTGAAGCTCATCTCGGCCACGTGTTCCCCGACGGGCCTGCGCCCACTGGTCAGAGATTTTGCATCAACAGCGTGGCACTGACGT